ATCCTACAATCATATTATACGTCATAAACATCATCTCATGGCCTCACAACATCAATTTATCCCCAATTTCTTCATAAACATTCTCAAGTCAAAAAAACCATATACAAAACCCCAACATACCTAGACTCTATATCAACTATAATGAAAAGTCATACTCCCCATACCTTAGATTCTTGGTTCTAATTTTACTCTTTGAATTCTACAGCAATTCCTCTGAGCCCTAACCTCTTCCACATTTTTCCTCAGATTCGTTCTCACAAAATACGATTTTTCAGATAACTTTCCTAATCTCTTTTTCCATTATGTCCAACATGCTCTTAGGACCCTTATTATGATTTTCTCCTCTTACCCTCACTTATCCCCTTACAAAAGACCATTTTACCCTTAATTCTTCTACTCGCCTTAGTGTAAATAATAATAATAATAATAATCTAAATAATATTAGTCACATTATTCTATTATTATTAACACTAAAATAGTTTCAATTAATCACTTATTTTCTAAATACTCTCATTATTCCCTTAGCTCATCAATATCCCACAACACACAATACAAATACACCATGCATCATAATATTTCATCAAAATTCACTCAAAATCACGAATATTTATAATAAATCAATTAAATAAATATTCTAATTATTTTGGGGTGTTACAGGAAACAACAAAGCTTGCAAAATTGCAGGTATTGGATTTGTGAGATTCAAGCTCCATGATGAGTCAATAAGACTATTGACTGAAGTCAGGTATGTACCTGATGTGAAGTGAAATTTGATTTCTCTTGGTGAATTCGACAAGAAGGGATATATTTTTTAAGGAGAGAAAAGTATCCTAAGAATCATGAAGGGGTCGAAGGAAGTCTTGAGAGGCGTGAGAAAACAAGGCTTGTATACCCTTGAGCCTGAAGTTGTAAGTGGTTCGACGAATGTTGCATCCACAAAAACTTTGTCGAAGACATAAATTTGGCACATGAGATTGGACCATGTTAGTGAAATGGGTCTGTTCGAATTGGGGAAACAAAATCTGCTTGATGGAGACAAAGTCGAAAAGCTGAAATTTTATTAACCCTGTGTACTTGGAAAAACTTGCAGAGTGAAGTTCAACAAAGTCAAACAAAGAACACATGGATCCTTTGATTACACCCGTGTTGATCTTTGGGGGGCTAAAAGATGTCCATCACAATTAGAAGCAAGGTATTTCTTATCCATGGTTGATGATTATTCCAGAAAGTTATGGGTATTCATCTAGAAGACTAAGGATGAAATTTTAGATAATTTCAAAGGTTGGAAGGCTCTGGTCAAAAATTAGACTGGAAGAAAGGTCAAGAGGTTGAGAACCGACAATGGCCTTGAATTTTATAATGAGGCGTTCGACAACTTTTGTGTTGCCTCAGGTATTGTAAGGCACAAAACCACTGCAGATATTCCATAACAAAATAGTTTGGTGCAAAGATTTAATCGAAATATTTTGGATAGAGTTAGATGCATGTTGACTAGTGCTTGGTTAAAGAAGGTGTTTTGGGCTGAGGCTGTTTCGACAATAACATATCTAATAAACAGATGTCCTTCGACTCCGTAAGATATAAAGACATTTGAAGAAGTTTGGTAGGGACATCCACCAGATCTCGACAAACTGAGAGTATTTGGTTGTGTGGCCTATGCTTGTATTAGGTAAGACAGGGTCGAACCTAGAGCTCTGAAATGCATGTTCATGGGATATCCTGAAGAGTAAAAGCTTATAGGCTATGGTGCATAGAGCCAGGTCACAGAAGGTGTATCACCAGCCGAGATGTAGTTTTCAATGAAGTTGAGATGACCTTCAAGAAAATTGATGATGCTGACAAAGAGCTGGAATATGGAAAGATTCCTGTTGAGGTGGAGCATGTTGATGTTGAATTGTGTACCCCATATGATGTCAAAGAAGAAGCAGAACCTGCTGTCGAAGATGAGGAGACTGATAATGGCTACCTACCAGCAAGAGACAGGTCGAGGAGAGTCATCAAGCCACCTCAGAGACTTAGGTATGCGGATCTTATAGCTTATGCCTTAATCTCTGCAAGTGAGGTTCTAGACGAAGAACCTATAGACTATAAGGAAGTTATGAGAATTTGAAATAAGACTGAGTGGCTGAAGGCCATAAATGATGAGATGAAATCTCTTCATGATAACAACACCTGGGAACTGATCAAGAAACTTGCTGGAGCCAGGTTAGTCAGCTGTAAATGGATTTTTAAAGTAAAGGAAGGAATCGAAGGAGTGGCATCAAAGAGATACAAGACAAGATTGATCGCTAGGGGTTTCACTCAGAAAGAAGGTATCGACTTCAATGATGTGTTCTCTCCTGTTGTGAAGTACAGGTCCATTCGAATGTTACTTGCCACGGTGGCACAATTCGACCTTGAATTGGAACAGATGGATGTGAAGACTGCATTCTTGTATGGTGATCTAGATGAAATAATATAAGGCAACCTGAAGGGTATGTCGAAAGGGGGAAGGAAGATTATGTGTGCAAGCTGAAGAGATCTTTATATGGACTGAAACAATCTCCTTGGCAGTGGAATAGGAGATTCGAAAAGTTCATGGCACACATAAGTTTCATTAGAAGTCAGTTCGACCACTGTGTTCACTTTAGATTTCGACCTGGTAATTCATTTGTCATTTTGTTACTTTATATGGACGATATTCTAATAGCAAGCAACAATGTCGAAGATGTAATGAGGGTGAAGGTTGAACTCATTAAATAGTTTGAAATGAAGGATTTGGGATCTGTATCCAGGATTCTTGGGATTGACATTCGAAGAGATAGAAAGCAGACAAAATTATGCTTATCTCAAGAGGCATACCTACGGAAGATTATCGAAAAAAATTGGTATGTCGAATTCAAAGTCTGTTGTGACTCTGACAAATCCTTAATTCAAGCTGAGTATAGATCAGTGTCTGAATAATGATATCAAAAGAGTTTATATGAATAGAATTCCATATACTAATATAGTGGATTATTTGATGTATGTTATGGTCTGTACTAGACATGACATAGCATATGCAGTAAGTCTTGTAAGCATGTACATGGAGAGTCTTGGAAAGGCTCACTGGTAAGCATTGAAGTGGATTCTAAGGTACATAAATGGGTCTTTGAATAGATTTTTAACTTATGGTGGAGCCTTGGGTGAAGATAGTAAATCAGCAATCAAAGGATATGTCAACTCTGATTATGCAAGTTGTATTGATTCCAGAAAATCTATTTCTGAATATGTGTTCACTATGTTTGGTACAACAATCAGTTGGAAAGAAACACTTCAAAAGGTTGTTGCCTTATCAACCACTGAAGCGAAATATATCGCCCTAACTGAAGCTGTGAAGAAAGCATTGTGACTTGGAGGTTTTGCAAAGGAGCTGAAACTTCATGGTCGAGTTGTCATTGTTAAATGTGATAGTCAATGTGCAATACGCCTGTCGAAGAAATCATCCTATCATGAGGGAACCAAGCATATTGATGTAAGGCTGCATTTCGTCAGAGGGTTAATCAAGCGTGGAGAAGTCCAAGTGTTGAAGGTTTCAACAAACCATAATGTTGCTGATATGATCACCAAGACGTTGTCTAGTTGCAAGTTTTTCTATTGTATGCAATTGATAAAGCTGCATGAAGAAAAGTAGTTTGTTTCTTAATGTTATAGAGTTTGTTCCAAGGTGGATATTTGTGAGATATTGGATCAAACTCTAGTATTGTCGAAAGAGGTTTAGCATCCCGTCGAAGTCTACTCACATGTTGTTGTCGAAGACCTACATGTTGTAGTTGAAATATGTTCTAGTATGTAGTTGTCGAATTGGGCTTGTTTTTTATGTTCAGTTGTTTAAGTTAGTTTGTACCCTAAGTTAGCTTGTAATGGGTAATTGTTAAAACTACCATTAGTTTAGTATGTTAGATTTTATTATAAATATCATACTAGTCTCTCATCTTAAGTGTGGCAAATTCTAATTAGGTTGAGAGAGTTATTTGTTATTGTTGAGTACTTGTAATCTGATTCAAAGAGAAAGTAAAGAATAACAGTTATAATCAATCCTTGTTGTTTTTCTTCTTGTTTTTCCATTAAACCTAACCCTTATGTGTTTTTTATCATAAAAAAAATTGTTTATATTTTGTTTTAAGGTATCGTTTTTCACAATAAGAACAAACACATAGAAAGGAGGTATCGTTTTCTTAGGGATCAGGTTAGTAAAGAGAGGTTGAGAATTGAGTATTGCAAGACTGAATTGCAACTGACTGACATTCTAAAAAAACTTGAAGCAGACATGTTTTGAAGGCCTTAAATGACTGACGGGAATGGGCAACTTAAGAAATCTAATTTAGGAAGGTTATTAGGTGTGTAATTCAGTTTTCAACACGTGATTACTGCTAGTTTATTACGTGGTTACTAATAGTTTAGTATGTAATTATTATAGTTTAATATGTGATTATTGATAGTTCAACATGTGATTGCTAATAATTCAACATGTTTTTAATGTTAATTATGCATGTGACTAATGCTAACTAAATATATGCTTACTAACTAAAAATTAATTAATTAGTTAGTAAATCCTATATAAAGCATGTAACACATTTTTGTAAAAACTTAACTCCATTCCAATAATACATCTCTCTCAATTGCTCTTTATTCTTCTATATTTTTCCTCAATTTACAAATAACTTGTAATTCAAGTTATCCAACACAACAACAAAATACTACTCCTATTGCTAACAGTTATAAGAAACAAAAATATGTTATTTATTATTCGTAAACAGAAACAACACTTTGTGTCATTGTATCAAAGTCCTACTAAAGGAAAAACTCTCAAATGAGAACATATATATATATATATATATATATATATATATATATATATATATATATATATATATATATATATATATATATATATATATATATATATATATATATATATATATATATATATATATATATATAGCTAGTCCTCTGGACTGTCCTCAATTTTCAAAGGAAGTTTAATTGGCTTTAGTAGAGCTGATGAATTTCTTAGCCTCTTCAGCAGTTGGAAGTGCAGGAATAGCTCCCTTCTGTGTTGTACACATTGCTCCACAAGCATTTGAAAATGTCAAAGCCTCTCTCAGGTTTGCTTCATTCTTCATGATGAATTCAATAAAGCAAAGGCAATATCAACAAATCAGAAAAATAAAAAAAATTTAACATAGCCTAAATTAAAAATGAATATGTATGTGAGTGTTTTAGATCCATCAAAGGTGCAACACTTGTAAAAACCGGTAGATTTAGAGAGAAAGTTTTCACACTACATCTAACGGTTTTTACAGATGTTGCACCCTTTGTTGTCTGCGACGAATCCCGATAGAGGATCTCGACTGATGTCTGAGAGAGAAATAGAGAGCATACATCGAATATGGAAGTGTCTCTGGCCACAGCTGTGAGAAGTGCACCAACAAAAGCATCACCAGCACCAGTTGTGTCAACTGCATTCACTGCGAATCCACTTACCCTTCCTTTAAAATTCTGCATTCAAACAATATCTCTAAACATGAATAGTTTGTATTACAATAGAAAGCTATAAATTGTTTTCAGCTTATGAAAATAAGCCGAAAACATTTTATGGACAAGTCACAATCACAAGTGCTTATGTCAAACCAAATAAATTGAAATATGGATTGGATCGATGGACAATACCTTAGTGACATATCTGCAACCCTTCTCTCCATCGGTGATAAGAAGCAGCTTCAACTTGTCATGCCACAGAGACTTAATAACTTCTTCACTCTGAGCATCTTTTTGTGTAAGAAATTCAACCTCATCATCACTCACCTACATAGAAGATGATCAGTGTCTATAAGCACTTGTATAGCTTTTCAAACTGTCTAAAACAAGTTCAAGTTCAAACAATAGTACCTTAATGAAATCAGCTTCAAGCCAAATACTTTTGATTCCAGACCTAGCAGCCTCAGCAGAAGGCCACAAAGGTAGCCTGACATTTGGATCATATGACAACAAGGCACCAGCTTCTCTAGCAGCTTTCATGGCAGCCATGTGCGCAGATCTGCATGGCTCGGTAATAAGACTGATAGATCCATAATGGAATATCTTGGCCTTCTTAATCAAATCCATTTTCAGTTCAGATTCTTTTAGTAACATGTCAGCACTAGGGTTTCTATAAAACATGAACTCCCTCTCTCCATTTTTCTTTAAGGTCACAAAAGCCAATGCAGTTCTAGCCTCGGTGTCAAATAGAACACCGTCTGTATTCACACCATTTTTCTTCAATATGCTAGCAAGCATCCTTCCAAATTCATCCTCCCCCACCTGCACATAGCAATCATTATAGTAATTTTGTTACAAAAAACTTCAATATATATGTACGGTTTTAAATTGCAGTTGCAGATGTAGACGGCAAAAAAGAAAATAATCAATAATAATGATAGTAAGATGAGAACCTTGCCGATGAAGGCAGCATTGCCACCGAGTTTGGCAATGGCACAAGCCACGTTTGCCGGAGCACCACCAGGAGCTTTGATGAAACCATGAGACTCAGCCAAAGACACACCAGCTGTGTCCGGAACAAAATCTATAAGCATCTCACCAAATGATATCACCAATGAATTCTCTGAGCCTGACATCTTTTTCTTCTTCTTTTCTCTGTATTCCTCTTGTTACTTGTTACTATTGATTTCTTGTATCTCACTCTATATACAAAACTTAATTTAATATCTCATAATTTCAACGTGGTTTCAAATTTATAAAGTACGTAAGAACTCAGTGTGACTGATCCGAGAATGAGTGCGTTTGAAACGGGGCTATAAAACTACCACACAAACTTATCCAATATTAACAAATGTTCCTCTATTTATATCGGAAATCTATTTTTATGGCCTTAAAAATAGGCGTAAAAGAGTTACATTCACATAATTAACATACATTAACTTTGTTTAATTTCACAAAACATTAGCACAAATAAATAAAATCTAACATATTTATTCAATAATAATAATAATAATAATCAAAGCCATTTTCTATCATCATATTATTCAAATTTATAATGCTTATCAACACCAACAGAAACATCCCAAGTGCAACTCATTCCTTTAGGAAACACAACCAAGTCACCAGCAGCAATTTCAACAGCCTCATTAGCTCCACTAGGAGTGACCTTCACTTTTCCTTCCAGAAGATAGCATGTTTCTGTCGCATCATATGTCCATGGAAAATTACTTGGAGGACAACCCCATCTATGAAAATTTATTTATAGTTAGAATATATAATAGAAATCATGAGGGAAAAAGTGGGAAGATAATGAAGAAATGAGGTTTTTACTTGGGCCATTGTCTAACACCAAGTTGAGTGAGCTTGGACTCGGGAGGGTTCTTCTCAATCTTGATTCCAAGTTTTTCTGTGACAGATGCTTTAACAACTGTTCTCCTTGTTGAAGTCATATGTTTGGTTTTTGGGGAAAGTAGAGAGGGGTTGGGGAATGATAAAGTTCCTAAACATGAAGATGCCATTGAATAATTTGTTAAGTTTTGATATTTGGAGTTAGAATCATGATAATTGTTATGTTATGTTAAGTTTATCTTTGATTTTCGTTCACTCATTTCTCATCTTTTGTCCTTTCTAGAATCTAGACAAGGCAATCACTTTAAAGAATGTTCTAGGGGAGGAAGTAAATAAAGTTTCATTTGAGTTTTTCTTTTTCTTTTTCTTTTCAACAATAACACGTCTATTATGCAACAATAGTTTGGTTTTTTTCTTCTCCATGTTAAAGGAATTTTTAAATTTTATCACTTCATTTATTCATCAATGTACTTTGTCTTTTAAAATGAAAATTTTAATTAGTTAAAAAAAATATAAACTATTATTAAGGGTATTATCCATAACGTTTATTTTCTTTTATTAGAAATAAGCTAAACAAATAAATGATCAAGGATTGAAATCAGCCAAAAAGAGATCGAGGCGGACAAGTTTATCAATTGAAATTGATCTTAAAAGTTTAACTCGCTCCGTTAAGGTGACGGATTGCGGACGGCGAGTTTGTCCGTTTATTTATTTATTTATTTATTTTTAATAGATTAATAGGCTTATTTTTTGATACAGCTGCGGACCGGGAGGTGGAGGTAGCAACTTGCAGTCCGCTATTCCTAATATTGATAGGCCCATTCGTACTAAGAAGCTTCCTTCAAAATATCAAGATCACATACTTTATTAAATGAGTATTTGTTTTATTCCTAGTTATTTCTATTTCTTATTTCTACTTGTTTCTAGAAGGCTATGACTCAACCAAAGTTTGTTAGTAGTGTCTTGCTGTGATGTACGTTTGTTAGTAGTGCGCTGCTGTGATATCTCTCTTTAGATTCTGCTATTCAAAACTATATAAGATGTATTTGCTCATTGAGCTAGTGGAAGGAAAATCATTGCAGAAAATTATCTCTCTTCCTCTCTATTCACTGCTTTAGGAGGTTTGGCTCAGTCCTTAAAACTAAGCATTGTCACTTGGTGCTTTCATTGTGTTGAATTCCTCCTCCATCCATGACTTCCCATCCTCCCCCACCTGATCCTGTAGCTGATCTCGCTCGTCAAGTTGCCATTCTCACCGCCCAACTTGAAACTATGCACAAACGTTTTAACGATACATCATCTTCCGGTGCATCTCGTTCCAGTCCAGATTCACAGCACCGCCCTCGTCTCAAATTAGACATTCCTCGTTTCGAAGGAACAGATACACATGGTTGGATCTTCAAGATCTCACAATTCTTTATTTATCACCAGACACCTGATGAGGAACGCATCACCATTGCTTCCTTTTATCTCGACGGTCCGGCCTTGGCATGGTACCAGTGGATGTATCGGAATCGTCAGATCACATCGTGGACCCAATTTTTGGAGAAATTAGAAATTCGTTTCACTCCAACTGCGTTTGACGATCCTCGCGGTAACCTTTTTAAGCTTACCCAATCTACTTCTGTGACGACGTATCTCATTGAATTTGAAGCTCTCGCAAATCGCCTCGAAGGTTTATCTGAAGCTGATCTTCTCAGTTGTTTCATTTCTGGGTTAAAGATCGATGTTCGTCGTGAGGTCTTGGCTCAACAACCAACAACCATTTTGCAGGCTGCTGGTCTTGCTCGTTTACAAGAGGATAAGTTGAAAGACATTGCGCTTTCTTCGCGTCCTCGACCGTCGCCGCCACCATGGAAATCTGCTTTGGGGCCTCGTCCTTCACCCAAGCCCTATTCTGATTCCTCTTCCATGGTGAAACCCTCCCAAGGCATTCTTCCTACGCCACCAGCAAAGCCCCGTTTTCGGCATCTCTCCGGGCCAGAACTCGATGAACGACGTCAGAAGGGTTTGTGCTTCAATTATGATCAACCATGGTCCAAACAACACAAATGTGGTGGTCGTGTATTTTTAATGGTTGCTACTGATGAGGATTTTTCTTCTACGCCCGGTGAATTAGAGTCAGCGGCGACAGAATTGATTGACTTCGTTGTTGCATCGGAGGAACTCTCTGCTCATGCAGCACAGTTAAGTTTACATGCTCTTTCTGGGGACCAAGCTGCTGACACATTTCGCATCTTGGGTCGAATCTCCTCTAACCCGGTTGGTGTTTTGGTGGATGGGGGCATGTCGCGGTGAAATTTGGATACCAAGCTATTGATTAACTTGAATCTTTAATTCATTTGCAACCGGTCTTTGATTTGTCCAAAGGAAGGGATAAAGATCGAAATACCCACAATGCAATGCAAATGCAAGCTAGATTGTTTAGGTTCGGGGGTTGGTTAAACTTAGGGAAGGTACTAGCATCCTAAGTTTCTGTAGTACTCTACAGGAACCTCTTGTTTTATATTTGTTTATTGCTAAGTGTTTATCTGCTTAAGGGATTAGAGACCCTAGTGGTTTATTTCTAAGTATACTCGATAAGATGTCGCATCTTATGCCTACATATCCTTACGGGAGTGGAATCAGAGTATTTTGTAGTTCACCCTAAAGGGTTTAAGGAGTTCTTTGACTGTGGTCAAAGTTCCTACGGGTTTAGGGTAGTTGGTTGATTGGGTTTAGGAGAGAAGACGAGTCTTCATGTTAAGGGAGAGATAACCACCACAAATGTAAGAGGGGTTGTAGGAAATGGTCTTTGCATCGTCTTAAGAAAAGGTCTTAAATACTCGGATGGTCGCCAAGTATGCCTTTGTCGCTCTTAAGGCAAATTTCCTACATGTTTGATTGTATTGTTATGGGGGTGGAGATTATATCTCACTTAAGATGATTAACATCTATTCTCTAAATGTGTTTGTAAAATTGTATTGTTGATTGTTTGTTTGTCTAAGTTGTAAACATTAAGACAAGGTCCTTCCTATGGGGTAGGTCCTAAACTTAAGCGATCAACTTGAATGGGATCAAGGATCGTGGGGAAATGATGCATATGATGTGCACTACACACAAGTGTTGACTTATGTGTAGGGTTTTCCTTTGACGGAATGCAATGCAATAATATAAATTACGGTAAATGTAAATGACAGTAATGTAAATTGCGGAAAAGTAAACCATACAGGTACGCGTGAAAGCGCTGAGGTGTAGGTGCAAGTGTCGTGAAGTGAGATGTGATTTTGTATTTTACGATGTTGGTTGATTTTAAGCGGATTGATTTATAAGAAAATTGTTTTGAAGGGTAAGATTGATTTTGTCGGAGAGAGTTGAGTTAAGTGAGTAATGATTTTTAGTGAATAAAAGGCTTTAGTAAGTGAAAAAGTTCTATTACTAAATATGGTCTTTAATTATTATAAAAGATTAATAGTTAATTAGATTAAAAAGGATTGTTTATTATTTATTTTAAACTTATATATTTTTTATAAAGAGGGTTTTTTTGGAATATGATCAAATTATATTAAAAAAAGGTTATTAGAATTAAGGAATAAATTCATTAATAAATAGTAAAGCGAATAACTAAATAGATTATTAGTTTGTCTCTAAAGCTGATTTTTCTTAAAAAAGATGGTTAACTACTTGGTTATTTAATAAAAAGGAAATAAAGGTAATATTGAGCGAAAAAGAATTAATTAAAGGCTTAATTAGATTATTTATGAAATGAGTTTTAGAGATTAATTATTACGTAAAAAGGATTGATTAACAAAAAGATGATTAAGTTAACAAAATGAATATGAGTTAATTAGTTAAAAGAAAATTGTCTAATTAAATAAATTAATTGTAACCGGACTAAGTTAAATAAAGGATTTTATTAATTAATTAGAAAAGAAAGGCTGACTAGATTAAATGATCAGGTTTTAGGTTAATTAATTAAATCAAGTAAATTGGTTGAGTTAACTCACGGTAGATTAAAATTTCTAAGATGGTTGATTAAAGGTCTAATTAGGCATAAAGGTTAATTAAATTACTGATTAGTGATTAACTAGAAGGTTTAATTAGGGCGATGGGTCTCGGTGTGGTGCAAGCGAAAGAGTCTACCGTGGGCGTTAGCTGTGGGTCGTTGGGTCGGAGATCAGTGGGTGTGTGCGTGCGGTGCATGATAATATTATGGGTGTGCGTGCACACAATTACATGGAAAGAGAACTGCAGAAAAGCAATCAGAAAACCTAATCCCAATTTCTTCCCCCCCAAACGCGATCTTCTTCGATCCTCTTCCTCGCGCTTCCGTCTCTTCTCTTCCTCGCGCTTCCATCTCTTCTCCCTTCTACAACTTCTCCGCTATTTCTTCATCTCCTTTTTCCCTTTTGCTCTCTCTTGCCTCGCCTCTCTTCCTTTCTTCAATCTCTACAAATAAACAGAAAAAAACAACATAATGATATCGTTAGCAAAACAGGGGCTCACGTTCCCGCTGATTTCTTGTCCACACAATGAATTTGACGAAGAGGGCGGTAGATGGCGATGGTAATTCGGAGACGGGAAGGTTTCAGCATTGACGGTTATGGGTTGTTGATGGTGTGGCGATTTCCGGCAAGGGTTTGGGTCGCGATTCTGTGGTGGATTCGCAAAGCTCGAGATGGCCGGTGGGATTGCAGTCAGGAAAGCGACGTAAGATAAATTTTCCTCCTTTCACATTTTAGGTTTTCGAATTGTGGAATTTTTTTGTGTGTTTTTTAGAATACCCTTCTGATGGATTCTCTCCCTCTTTTTATAGACTAATTTCTCAAAACGTGTTGAAACGTAATTGAAAACTTTCCATCTTCGGCTGATTCTTGTCTATGATTGTTTTGGAAATACTTCATTGCCCTGATGTCTTGTTGTTTTTGATTTGGCATGCTGATAACCATTTCTACAATTCTCTTTATTCGATGATTAATGAGTTTCCCTTTTCAGTTGAATATTGATTTGGAAAACAACGGCCCGTCTTTAATTCTGAGGTAGGGATGTCTAATTGTTTTTGAAAATAAACTGCGAATGATATTTGTCATGATTCTCATCTTAAATTCTTCGTTTTTGCAGAACCGCAGCTGAAGATGCTGCCTGTCGACTGTTGGGGATAAGCAAGAGATAAGTTGAACTTGATATATCT